TTTTTTTTGCCTAGTTGTTATCTTTTGCCCAAAATAGATGGTGCAGTGGATTACAAAAAAGGGAAGTGAGAGCTCTCTAAAGAGGTTATGCTGTAGTCAGTTCTGCTAGAGGAAAAGGAGGTCCTACTCTTTGCTTAAGCAGGCATGAGACAGAATAAAACTCAGGACATAACCATGGAAAAACTATTTTTCACTACTATTTGGAAATCTGGATGATACAGTAGCTTGATTCTTGAGTTGTCATCTTTTTCTGCAGAAAAATCCCCTGTTATCTCAGCCTTGTGATTACTAGCTCTTCTTTCCATGAAACAAATAATCTGTATGAGTACAAACCAGTCCTTCTGCTTGAGCTGGTGTGCAATGGCTTTATTTGTTTTGCTTTTTTTAATAGACTGCCACAGAACACTGTGAAATTATCATCAGTGGTAAATACGGGTTCAGAAAAACGTGATGACTTCAGGGATTCTATTGAGACGTTTTTAAATGGTTTTGAGTGATGTAATCAGGTTAAATACAAGGTAAGTGCTCTTGACATTTATGTGTTGGAAACTATTTGTGTCAGTTTTTTAATGACTGATCATGCAAACATTTTTAACTTGAATATGTAACTCTCTGGAATAGAAAGGAACTTTTTTGGAAGTTGAACCCAGCTTGCTGTAAATCCATTCCAGCAAAACAGTTGCGATAGTAACCTAAAAAGTTATTGTTAGCATTAATGGGAACAGAGCAAAATGTTGGAAACCACTTCAAAAGCTCATTGCTTTTATGATAGCTCAGTTTCGGACTTTCTTCTGAAAGTCAGAGTGAAAATTTCAATTCAAATCTAGTTCTGACCAGTTAATTGCAAAAGAAATATGGATTTTTGTATCTCAGGTGGTGACAATGCTTTGTACAATGATACTAACAGATGCCTATTACTAGTGGAATGACCTTGCTTTGTGACCTTTCCTTCTTTCTGGATAAATTGTCACATAAATTGTGTACAAAAAAAAAAGTACAAACTTAGACATAAACTAATTGAGAATGTTAATATCTCTCTTTGTCATTCTTTTCCAAACAATGAATTCCTTTATTTCTATTGAGGGTGCTCTGTCATTTTTGCATATCTGTCACAGTGGTGTATTCTTACTGTACCTGTTCCTCTTAGGGAAACCTTTATCATAAAAAATTCTGAGAGTGAGTGACAGGGGAGGTTAACTAGTAACTTCTAAATAAATTTCACTAGCAAATACTTCTTCATTCTGTCTCCACCCAGGATCCTAATTATGATTTTCTTCATAATACAAGTTATTAATGTTAAATCTGTATAATGATGAGGTACTGATCACTTCTGATAACTCCTTTTCATTCTTACTTTGCTAAAATAAATTTAGGTAGGTGAAAAATGTTTTAAAGTTTTTTTCTTTTTTTTTCCAGGACTGATTTTGCAAAGTGGACAGTAATGGAGTATATGAGCACGGATAGTGATAGCAAAGAGGAGATTGACTTGTTGCTAGCGGATCTAAATATGTCTGAGGTGATAGCCATCATGGAAAACCATTATCCAGGTGAAGACATTGCAGTCTATGAAGACAGCTTAATTACCATGTGTGAAGAGGCAAATCAAAATGATGAACATGCAGAATCATTACTGTTTTGTGAAGGGGAGGTCTCTTTGATGTCCTCTGTCAAATACGGGACTGTGGAAGACCTGCTTGCTTTTGCAAATCAGGTGTCTAACACTGCAAAACAGTTTAAAGGATGCAGACAACAGGAATCTGGAATCCTCTTGAATATGGTACGTACATCTCTTTTCCTTTTACTTGGCATTTTATAGACCATAGGAATTAGAAGTTTTTAATGATTCTAAATAAAGCTCAGTTCCAGAAGTTGCAGGTTATGGTTTCCTGTGGAACCCTGGGGCTGGAAGGGGTCCCTGAGCCTATCAAGTCTAGCCCTTGCAGTCTCAGGCAGCTAGCTATGCAGAAAGGTCTTTTGTTCAGAAGGATCAAATCTCTTATCTCCTAGTATCCCTGGAGGTTAGAAAACATTTCCCAGTATTGAATACAAACTTGAGACAAGCAGTCAAAAAGCAAAATCTACAATTGATTTTGTCCTTCCAGTACTTAAATGTGGCTTGTAAAATACGGTACTTGCATAAAAAAGAGGAAGAGTGACTTTTTAGAAGGGTGTGTAGTGATAGGACAAGGAGGAATGATTTTAAACTAAAAGTGTAGAGACTTCTTTACTCTGAGGATGGTAAGACTCTGGAACAGACTGTTCAGAGAAATTGTGGATACCTCATCCCTAGAAGTGTTCAAGGCAAGGCTGGATGGGCCCTGAGGAACCTTACCTAGTGGGTGACAACCCTTCCCATAGTAGGGGAGTTACAGCTAGATGATCTTTAAGATCCCTTCCAACCAAAGCCTATCTATGATTCTATGAACTATGATGGTTTACAGGTCTGGTAGACAGTAAGAGTCTTCCAGTGCCTTGTGTTCCATGCAGTAAAACGTTCATTATGCAAACTCCCAAAAATAAAGATCTAGGAATTAACAGTACAGTTCCTAAATTTGCTCTATCTGCACAAAATGTCAATAGTAGTAATGTAAGGAGAAAAAGCACATACTATCAAGTGTGATTTTAGGAGTTACAATATTATGTAATATCTCACATTGCTAAATTCAAGTATATAGATGTGTTGTTTTGAGATGTTATTTTTTTCCCTAAAATTGTTTGTGTTCTACCAGCTTCTCTGGATATTAGTGTCATTAAACTTTTGTTTAAGATCAGTTGCTCTGGAAATAATCAGTGTTGCAATGGAATTCTATTATGCATGTTGGTGTTGCTGCTGTATTTTCTTAAGATGTTCTAAATCTAACATCTTAAATATCCTGTATATTATATATTTCATGTGTGAACATTGGTCGCTTGAGGCTTACTGGTTACTCAGGTGCAAAATACCAGAGGGTATTGCTTTATTCTGATTTGAAGGGAGCATTGTACTATTGCAAAACCATCACTTTTCAACTCTGTTATATTGAAATGACACTTAGTAATATTAAATGTTTGCTATGCTTAGGGTAGACACTGTTCTACATCCTCGTGGTTGTTTTGCTTGCATATTGCTTCTACATACAATTGATATGAACCCAGTACTATTAGGTGCACATGATCCCATTATGCAGCTGAGGGTTGGAGGCAGGGTATTACCTGTGCATGCATTTCAGCAGGGACATTGCTCTGTAAATATCTAAAGCATTTTGGTTAGGGTCAGGACTGTTTCTGACTACCTGCTGACCCTCACTGGCTGCACCATGGCTTGCATCACAAAGAGTTTTGAAGTGCACAAGATGGATTTCTTTTAGTTAAAACTGAACTGAAAAATGCATTGCAACCACTGACAAATGTTCACAGGGTCAGGCTAGGAGCTAGTCCTAAAAGCCACCTGAAAACATGAGTAGTGCGGTGGTCATCGCTGTCTTGCTCTCCAAATCAACTCTGTTCAGCGTCTCTTCCTTTCCAGGATAAGGTGTAACCCATATGCATTAGTCTCAACCCTTTGAAATGCAGAAGCAGGCAAGCAAGGTGTACAGATTGTTAGGCATGTACAGATTGCTTTACCCTGGCTCTAATAAGTAGAGGGAAGGCTTGTTCTCTCTGTCATAGGCAGAATACTTTTTATGGAAGGATAGCCCCCCATTCCCCCTTGGCTAAAGGCTAAGAACTTATTCTCCCCAGATTTAGGAACTTAGAAGAATTAATTTATTTCATGTAGGTACAAATAATAAATGACAATTTTAGCAGTCAAGAAGGCACTTTCCTAATTGAAAAGAAGGAAGGTAGATTAAGAATGAAGGATTATATGTTACATCTTAAATAGAAATCTAGGCCAAATAATCTTCCTGATATGCTGCCATCTTAAAAAGAGTAGCTGAAGAGCTGAGTATTTGAGGCCCTGTGACAGACATGAAATGATAAATATCTTTGATGTGATTTTACATCAAATCTTGATAAATTAGTAGTAAGGAGATTAATGATATTGCAAATACTGGCTGAAATAATTAGAAGCATATTCATAGGAAATATTATTAATTTTGTAGCTGAGAGGCTGAAGAAGCAACACCAGGGATCAAGCAGTACTCACATGGCCGTAGTTAGGCGTTTGGTCTCTCTCTGTCACGTGCAGAGGGAGGGAACTGTTTTGGAGAAAGATTTAGAGCAAGATACTGACTTAGGTGCCCTGAATCCCCTCCTTGCCTGGCTGGTGATACAGAAGAAGCAAAGCTCCTGACATTACTCACCTAGAGGAGGCAATGTTACTCCCACTCTTCTTTTTTAAACTATGGAATAAAACTAGAGGAAAGTGGCTGGTAAAATCAAGGCAGACTTCTTTGACCTTTTACTAAGCAGCAGAAACTCCAATACAAGATGGGAAATTAAACTCCTAGCAGTACATGTGATATTAGGAAATGCTGAAACTCTTGCTCACATTGTATAAGATAACCTATGACTAACAGGTATGTGGCATAACAAGTTAACAGATTACAGGAAGGACAAACATGTGCAGGTAAATCTAATAACAAGAGGTGGGTAATTTCATTAACCCAGCTGCTGTTGTTGTTGTTTCAAGACAATTAATTGCAACTTACACTTCGTAAGTTAGTCACTGAAGAGAAACGTGGATTCCTGGGCTGTGAATGAATGCCACACCTCACATGCTGTTCCCATTTGGTGTTTCTAAATAAAGACTGCTAAGCAGATCATATGCATCATACACATAAGTGATACGGAGTTTTTTCCACTATATGTATAAAATTAATTAGACTTGAAGTAGTTTTAACTTCACTGTGGGTTTTTGTTGTTTATTTAACTCCACAGATCACACCCAAGAATGGGCGCTATCAAATTGACTCAGATGTGCTCCTGTTTCCATGGAAGTTGACTTACAGGAATATTGGTTCTGATTTTATTCCTCGGGGAGCTTTTGGGAAAGTGTACTTAGCCCAAGACAGAGAAACCAAGAAACGAATGGCATGCAAATTGGTATGTTAGTTCAGTAGTTTTATCTCTGAGCAAATATTGTATGACATACTACTTACGGTGTATTTTCAAACATGTCTGCATCAAATTCCACTGTTGGCTGATGATCGTCTTGGTTTTATTTGCCTAAACAAGGTGGGGAAAATGTACACTTCTGTTAGCATGTTTAAATTTCTTTTGCTCTAAAGCTACAAATATTTCAGCATTTTAAAAGTATCTAGAAGTGTGTGGAACTGGCACATGGCCTGTTGTGCAGAGTGGATTTTCTACTTGTCCTGCTAGGGTAAAATATCAGTGTGAGATCCTGTCCCTGCTGAAGGGGGTAGTAAAAACCCTGCTGCTGCAGAAGCTTTAGGCTCTTGTCCTTTAGCTGAAGTGCTCAAACTTCAGTTTTCTTTACTCCAGTGCCAATAAAGTCCCTGAGAACTCAGTATTTGCAACTCTTACTGTGTTTTGGGCACTGATGGGGTTAAGGTTGTGAGATGCCTCAACTGCTGAGCACTGTCCTACTTTTAGGCAAGCCAACATTTTCTTTCAGCTGTGCCTTTTAACATACTATTTTGAATTGAGCAGTAAATATTCAGGCCAGTAAAAGCTCAGTTGGGATATTGCTCTATATCTCCCAGCTCATGTATTAATTCTGTGTGTGAAAAAGTTGGGCAGGTAGCTGTGTGCCCTTCCCCTGCAGCCTGTGTGTGCACATGGGGATAGATTTTTGGCTGCTCCTGCATAATCCACTGCAGAATTAAAGTATCCAAATATTTCTGAAAATACAAACAATATTTCTCATTGGAATAAATTAGCCTCTTATTTGGTTCACAGACACAAGTCCAAGGGAAGAAAACTAAGCAGAGCAGTAGTAGCTTTTCTCTATGTAAGCAAACACTGCTTTTATTGTCTCAGCAATCTGCTGTCAGTACTTTTTAAAGAAATAGCGTGCTGCTGGCTCTCCCTTCAAAGCAGCTTTCATTTCATGTAAACCATAAACCAGTGCTGATAAGGGCTGAATTGAGGCCAGTAATGGGCCTGAGCACTGCAAGCACTGATCCACCTGTCAGGTGGGTGTGTAGTTCTGGTAGTGCAGATGAGTGCACAAAGCTAATGGAAAAAGCAGTGGGAATTTTATCTCCTTCAGGAAGTTTGCATACAGCTTTTGCGTAATCATTGGATTTTGACGGGAATAACTCTTGCTACATTGCTTTTTCTGGAAGATTACACTTTTTATTTGGGCATGATTCCAAAATGTCTCTCAACTTTTAACAGGATGTCTCTCAGCTGCAAAGGAAGAAAAGTCACAGGAACAAAGTAAAGCTCAGTATTTTAACAAGTGGATACAAGTGCTATACTTCCTTCTTTTCTGTTAATCTATAGGATAATTAGTGTCCACATGGATAACTTGCTTTTGTTATGGATAACTGTGATTTTGTTTGAATGTCCTAGGTCCCTGTGGAACAGTTCAAACCATCAGATGTTGAAATACAGGCATGTTTCCGACATGAAAACATTGCTGAATTATATGGCGCTATTTTGTGGGATGAGACAATCCATCTCTTCATGGAAGCTGGAGAGGGAGGATCTGTCATGGAAAAGCTGGAGAGCTGTGGTCCTATGAGAGAGTTTGAAATAATTTGGGTGACAAAGCATATTCTGAAAGGACTTGACTTTCTTCACTCAAAGAGGATTATCCACCATGATATCAAACGTACGTCTGTGTGATTCCTTGGGGTCCTTTCTGGTCCTGGCTGGGCTGGGGCCATGGTGGAGTCCCTGGGACTGAGCTAGGGCACACAGCCTTACATCTGAGTGGGAGGGATGGATAATGCTTTATAAATGGCAGGGTCAGGTTCTGGAGGTAATAAATACTTACACTATTGATTCACTCCAGCAGAGGGTGATTAGAAAGTCATAAATTCATGAGCAACTCAATTTAAATAAAAACCTAAAGAGTGAAGTTATCAGTCTGTGTTCAGCAGAAGTTTCCTGCTTTTAATATAAATTCATCCTGAATGTTTCCATTATCACCTTCAACTTACACCTTTTAGGTTTTACATGTCTACACAGGTGTTCCTCAGTTTGAGACACTTTGGCAGTAAATACATAATTTGTGCTTTTTTTTTTCTTTCAACAAGTACAACAAATTTCAATATATGTTTGCTTTTAAAAAACTCTGGATATTAACATTTATAAATAATTAAACATATTGATGTTAAGTCCAAATTAAATACACTGGTATTGAAATGCTTTAAAATTTAATTTTAATGTGTTGCATTTAAATTAGTATTAAATGCTGTTTTTCCCAGTACTATCTTGGCCCGCAGATAGATTAATTTCTCCGGGTTTTTTTAGCTAAACTTGAGGGTTTAAAGTAGAAATATTCAGATTGAAGCATTACAATAATTCACAGAACTGAACTGTTGGGAACTGCTAAATTTTTATCTGAGTTTTGCATTTTTGGTTTTTGGAGTTTTTTTAATTTAGTATGGGTCAGAACTTTAGATGTAAGCCTTTGAGATTCTGACAGCTACAAAACTGCTTATATTTTCCCTTTATTTTTCTTGATCATTTGTAAGTCTTTCCTATGGGTTTATTTTAATTGGCAGTAACAAAGACATTATTTAAACAACTTAAAAACGAAACCAGCCCAAAGCCTGTTACATCTAGGTAGTGAATAGGAGAACCAGCCCATTGTGGTGCATTTCACTTTTTCCAGCCTTCCCCTGTGTTGGTGGATGCAGGGCAGATGCTGAGGCAGAGGTTGGCTGGGACAGATGTGGTTGCCCAGAGGTGCCTGGGTGAGCCCTGACCGTGCTCCTGCCTGAGGTGCCAGGGTGAGCTGCGTACTCCAGGCCTGAGATGGAGCAATGCCCACTGCCTGGCAGGGCAGGCTCCATGCAGGGAGCAGTGTGTGTTTTCCCTCCCCAGGCGCAAGCAGTAGAAAAGACTCTTTCCCAAAATCTCTGATATCTTCCTCACTCTATCTGCTGCTTTTGAGCTGCAATTGAGTCTGTTCTGCTGGGACAGAAGGTGGGGATTTTATTGAGAGTAAAACATGCCCTGAGCAAGGAAGGGGAGGAAGGCATTCTGGTTCTTGGGATGTGTTCATGCTGCCACTCGTTTTAACCCTTGGTTGGAGAGCAGTTAAACCATCAGGCTGTTTGGTCAGGGGAGCTTCAATCCAAAATCAGCTGCAGCTGGGGCTCAGTCCCAGGCAGGAAGCAGATCCTGCTGCACTGTAGCAGTGTGGCCCTTTGGATGATCTATTATGGGGTGTTTAAAATCCATATCTTCAAAGTTATCCCTAAAATGACAGACTTACGTAGTCTATAGCGCTGGTAAGGAGGCAGCTGTGTGAAGCATTGCTCCAGGAATCAATCAGTACTGCTGAAATCAAGTCTGCCCTCCCGCTGAGTGGTCATGGTAGGCACTGTCAAGACAGAAAATAGCCCACAGTTTCCTGTAAGGGAAATGTACTTCTGTTGTGTAACTTGGAGACTTCATTTTACCACATCTTCTGAAACAGCAAACAAGAATTTCTCAAGGCTCACACCAAGCACTACATTCTTAAATATTTGATCAGAAATACAGCTGCAAACAAAGCCTCTGAGTACAAAGTTGTGCCTTAGGCAGGGTTTTATGAAGGAAAGTAAATTAAGCTTCTAGATACTGCTGCAGTTCTGAGGGAGTTTGAAATGCTCAGTCTTCTATTTTTACAGCCATTGTTTGTCCTCTGCTTTCACGCTGAGCTGCCCTCACAGACCAGTGCAGGTGACTGGTGTGGCTGCTGTGGAGGGGCCCTGGTTGCTCTGTGTTTCTGTCTTCACTTAAATTGTTACTCTAGAAAAACCTCTTGGTGAGCAACAGTTGTGCTGTTTATAGCTAGGGCTGCTCAGCATGATCTGCACCTTGGAGACCTTTGAACATCTTCAGAGCACTGTGCTGTGGTGCCTACCAGTCTTCTGCCTTCCTCCTCTACCCTCAGCTATTTTCTCTCATTGTCTCTTTTTTTAATTTTAAGAGAAGAAAATGACAAAACATTGGTTCTTTTACATAAACCAGACCAGTTTGATTTTTAAGATATGATTTAAAATTGAGCCAAATCATTACCAGACCTATTTTGGCTAGAAGGATATTGTCTGTAGAGGGTGGTTGTACTAATCTCTCCCCCTTTTCAGGCTAGCATCTGAATGAAACAGGAGTGTTGCAAAATAAATACCAACGTGCCAGACACTTAAATGATGTAATTTTTGGTTTTCTTTTAGCAAGCAACATTGTCTTTATGTCAACTAAGGCTGTTTTGGTGGATTTTGGCCTAAGTGTTCAAATGACTGAAGACATTTACTATCCCAAAGATCTTAGAGGAACAGAGGTAAGAAGCTGAAGGGACAAAAGCCTTTATATTGCATTAATCCTATGGGTTGTGGTGTTTAAGCTCAATTTTGAAGCTGGAGGGTTAGAAGCATGGATAAAATAGTTACTATAAAACCTATAAAAAACTTACAGACCTTAATAGAGTCTCAATTATATTTTTATTTTCAACTTGCTGAATGGAATGCTTTGAAAGCCGTGTCACTTTCTCTGCAGTCTCATTTGTTAGCAGTTGTTCACTGAGGTCAAACAGTACTCTGAGGAGGGTTGTTTGCAGTGTTTCAGCTGCTGCTCAGACACTTGTAACAGGAATTTGTTCTTTGGTCTAGCCAAGATTTCCTCTGAGATACTCACTGTGGACTGGGGTGACCTGTTCAACACCATACTTGAATTCCTCCCTTCAAAACCACAGAAATTACAGATGTCTGGGTTTCATCTCTTAGCCCTTGTCAACTCTGTTCCCCATGTGCATGTAACCCTTGGGTTCTTCAGAGGTTGTGCATGGCACAGTTCATGATTATCTGGTAAAATTGCTTAGATGTTGCAGTGATGGAGGTGGGGTCCTTTTAAATGGTCTCAGTGATTTTGAGATTGTCCCACCACTTGGATTGACTGCATTCCTGCTGAGGTGTTTCCTAGGCTGGAGTTTTAGCAAACAACCAAGCAGCAACAATTAGCTTGGGCAGCTGCTGCAGATGTGGCATTTGTGCTCTCTGTTGCTGGAGGAGATTCTTTACAGGAAATGCTTTAGCTGAGATGTTGGCACTTACCCTTTTAATAGTCTTCCACATGTGTAAAGAGGAAATCCCCATGTAATTGACAAAAAACATTTCACTTTTTAGAAGGGGAGGATAAATCAAGATTTTACAGAAGGTCAGGTTTGTTTGCTTCTTTTTTTCAAGATAATTGAGAAAACACTTGAATATTTGTTTTCAATGTCTTTCTAGTCAGGGCAGTTAAGAGCTATAAAATGCTTGCTGAACTGGAAGCAGCATGCTTTCTGGCACTTCATGCATGAGCTTTGTGGGGTTTTTACTTTGGTTTGGGGCTTTTTGTTTGTTCAAGGGGGTTTTGTGTGCTGTTAATAAGAACAGTGGTACATATGAGTTGATAGGGTATTTCCCAATGATGGAGATGTGTGTAAACAGGACATTTCCATGATTGTGGAGCAGACTAGTGAGGATCCACTTCTGGGTCTTGAAGGACAGGCCAAGGTTGTATTAATAAGAACAAGTGAAAAGTGAAAACACTTCAGTGTTTGCCAAGTGAAAACCACTTAGTTCTTAATTTAATAGGAGGAAAATTCCACACACTTTAACACCTGCAGTCCTGTTTTCAGAAAGCTGATAATCCTCTCAGCCCTGAAATGTGGCCATGTTTGGTGTTTGCTGTCTCAGGGGAGCAGCAATCCTGCTGCAACATTGCAGCCACAAATGAGGTTGGAGGGACAGCACTGGGAAAGGACATTTTCAGATACCAGTGAAAGACTTACAGGCTAATGTTTCTGATGCCAGTATAGGTTTTTCTGCTCACAGTCTTCATTCTAGGCATCTTCCTTTCCACAATGCCTAATCCTGTCACCCACAAATGCTCTGTGTAGTCTGGCTTTCTTGATGATTTTTTTTTTTTCAAACTAAGATCTTAACTCTCCAAAGTCCTCTTGAGTTTTGCACCCTGTGTTATGCAGCCTTAAGAAGTGGTGCAGTTGTCCTGTTGTTCCTGCAGGTAATTGTGCAACCCCTGGTTGAGGCTCTGTCACTGCCATGCAGCATTGTGCCTGTGAGCTGGCTGGTTTCTCTTACATCTGGTATTGGCAGGGACTTCTGTCCTTGAGGGAAGTGGTAGGTGGAATAACCTTTGTCCTGTGCATATTCTCTGGGAGTTAGGTTTTTTATTCACTTCTATAGCACAGGAAGACTGAATGTAGTGAATCTTCTTTGTGTTTATAAAAATGAGTAGTTACAATTCTGGGCAACAGGATTGAAAGATAGTTACATTTTGTTTAGCTGGTGTAGTGTGAAAAAAACTGGTGTTCCTGCTTTTGTGTACAAGTCATGCAGAACATTAAACTGTGGTTGTTACGAAACTGCTCTGCAGGAAATACTTTTTCTAGGCAGTTGCTACACTTTCTGTTAATGCTTCTATCACTGTTAAAATATATAAGCTTCAGTAAAACCATTTGAGGGTAAAAAGTTGTCTGCTAAAGTTTATTGAGTGTGGAAGGTATGATTCATTTTCAGGAATGCTAAACTAAAACTAGCACAGCATGAAGAAAGGACTGGTTTTTTGCTGGGCTGTGACTGGTCTGACTGGCAGGCAAGTGCCAGCCCACCAGTCAGAAGGAATGAGAATGGGAAGTTATTAATGGCTTGAGCTGTGTGCCTTGGTGACAATGGACTCTTAGACCAGTCTGAAATCAGAGCTTTGGAGCTCATTTTTGATTTTTTGTCACTGTGCAGTCAAGGTGCATCTTGACCATTTTCTCACCTTAGCTGCAGACAGGATCTTGTGCCAGCATTTTTTTTAAAGCAGCTGCTTCTTGTTTATGTAGATTTCACTCAAGTTGCACTGTATTTGGCAAAGACTTCTTTTTACAAAATTAGAACTTCTTTTCTCCTTATGAGACTTATAGGTGGAGGATGCAGATGCACTGATTCTCTCTTAGCCCTGAGGAAAGCAATGGATAAGTCAGTAGCAGCTGCAGATACCTGCTGAGGCTTTGCACACACACACACAAGGGAATTTGCAGATAGGGAATGTAATTTACTGGGAAGTTTTCCTTAGAATTTGGTGAGCCCTACAGTTGTTCTCAATCTGTTGCAATAAGCAGTCAAACCATGTGGTGGTGACTTAACTTCCTGCCCTTGTGTCAGTTAATGGCTTTTAATGTGATTCTTTGTGTCAGGATAACTTGAATTAATTAAAGTTTGTTTTAATCCTTTAGAGGGAAATGGGGTGAGGGAAAAGTAGGAACCAGAAGCAAATATGGTAGCTTGCTGACCTGGTGTGCTGTGGGCTGTGCCCATGTGGTGTTGAAACCTGCTCCCCAGGCCAGTGGCAGAGCTGTGCAGGGTGTGCCTCCTGCATCCTGCCTGTCTGGTTCTCCTCCAGCTGCACTCTGAGCTGCCTGCTGCTGGCAGGAGCTTCCAAAATCCTTCTTGAGACTCTTGGCAAATTCAAATGTTTCAGTGAAATGTTTGGATGGAAACTATTTTGGTTGCCATCAAGAAAGATTAGCATTTTTGGTTTGGAAAAAGGTTAGAAGAGGGATTCTTGTCTTCATAGCTGCTCTGGGGGTAATCTAGTGGAAAGGGCACCTAATTTTTAATTTATGCATTGCCTAGACCTGGCTTGTTCCTTATCATCCCATTTCTCAGGAAAATGCTACAATGTGCAGGTTAGTGGATAAGAAGGAGGAGGTAAGAAGAGTAAAGAAGACAGGAAGGGATATATATCAGTCAGTTCTGCTCAGAAGGGCTGAGTAGTATTCTGTGTAAAAGGGATCTGAGGGGAGGACTCCTACCCCCATCTGGGTGGCTGTCAGTCCAGTTCACCCTCTCTTTAGCTCATGCCCAGCCATTGTTCAAGCAGCATGGAGCAGTACCAGCAGTGCCCCACAAAACAAACTGGCAATTCAGGCACCACCTTTTGCTGTGGAAGGATGAGGCTACTGTTACTTACCTGAACAAGGCACAGCCATGGCTTGAACCTCAGCCTCTCACAGCCCAGCCAAAGCCCATAGCCACTGACCTGTGGCCTGTCTGAGGAGGGCAAGCCTGGAATATGAGTTTGTCCAGGTACTACTGTCTCTTAGGCTGTATTCTCATGCAGAACAGAACAATCTTATTTCCCAAATGGTGCTTGCAGGTACACTACTATGCATCCCTTCAGAGCAGGGTTTCCAGGATCACAAAATGTCATTAAGTCATCTTTGTTTGTTGTTTTCCCCTGTTGAGTAATCTCTTATTTTTTTAACTATTTTTCACAGATTTACATGAGTCCTGAAGTTATCCTTTGCAGAGGCCACACAACAAAAGCAGACATCTACAGCATGGGAGCTACTATCATTCATATGCAAACAGGCATCCCACCCTGGGTGAACAGATACCCTCGTTCTGCATATCCCTCCTACCTTTATATTGTGAGTATCCTTAGCAGAGCCAGCTCAGTATCAGTTGGAGGGTTTCCTGTACTCTTTTTGGGAAAGCTCCAGTCATATAAAAACTGTCAAAATATTTGTCAGAGAGATGATATCATCCTTTTTTGCTTCAGGGGTGGGAAGGGAGGGAGGGAAGAAGTGGGTTTTGATCTCTTAGGGGAAGAAAAGAGACTGGGCTGGAGTTGTCTCTGTGATTTGTTTCAATTTACAGACCTTGGGTTTACTGTAAGGACAGGGTTAGATCAGTGTGAGACTTGATTGAAACAAGCCCATCTGTCTTCTACTTGTCTGTTTTCCTTAGAAGTTGCAGATAAAAACTGGAGCCTGGCAGATTTGATTCTCTGACTCTTCCAGTGTGGTATAGAAATATGGTGAATTTGAATTGCACTGGATCTTAGGCTTACTTGAAGCTTCTTTGAATTTTTAAATTTATGATAAAATCTGTTTTTTTAAAAGTGGATTTTGTGTAGTTGCATGTTCTGTTCTAGTTGATCAGGACTACTTAAGGAGGTGATGAGTCCTAATTGGGGAATTCCCAGACCACTCATGCGGTTATCTGTGACTTCCTCTTCCACTGTTTTTGGAATAACTGTTTCCATGGTCGTTTTTGGTTCCAACAGATACACAAGCAAGCTCCCCCCTTAGAGGATATTGCTGAGGACTGCAGCACTTCCATGAGAGAATTGCTAGAAGCAGCTCTGGACAGGAATCCCAATCACAGGCTGTCTGCAGCAGACTTACTGAAACACGAGGCCTTACACCCCCCCCCAGAAGAGCAGCCGCGGTGCCAGAGCCTGGACTCGGCGTTGTTTGAAAGGAAAAGACTGCTCGCGAGGAAGGATCTGCAGCTGCCAGAGAATATCACAGGTAATGGCATCAGGCTCACTTGCCTTGTCCTTTGTAGACTTTACTTTGTGTCAAATCCTGATTGGAATGAGTGGTAAGGAACCAACAAAACTCAAAGCACATCTGGAAAGTGACCAGTGAAAATCCCAATCAGATGAGATCAGACCCCGAGGTGATGAAGTGATCTGTAAAACGCCCATTGACTTCAGTGGGGAGGAACCTAGCCTGACTTCTGCGGGCTCCTGAACGACTGGCTCTTGGAAAAGCTGTGGCAATCATTCAGGGCACTTCACGAAGTATACATTGTTGTCCCAAATGGACTCAATTTGCCACTGTACTAGAGATGTTTTATGGGCACTCTTGATTTGTAAATAACCACAAAGTCCAGCAACCACCAGCAAATCCAACAGTTTTTGCCTTTTTAAGGAAAAACACACACATAAAACCATAACTAATGTTGCTGAGCGTCAGGAGTAAAAGCCCTTTGTTTTAAAACCAAAAATGACTGTGTGATAGAATGCTGTTGCCCTTGTGCATTAGTAAGTGCTTAATGATAATACATGAACTAGGTAGGAAACAGCCCTTTTAAGCTCAAGTGCCAACAATCTGCCAACAGGCTTCAAAATGTTTTTCTTCTACATACCAAATACATTAGGAGGGTTCTGACAAAAGGCATTGAAAGACTCTTCCCAGATAAGTAGTTTATTTAATTGGGATAAATATTTTGAAATATATCTGTGCAAAGTTTTGCGTACTGTAAAGCATAATTGCAACAACAAATTCACTGAAAAAATCAGTCTCAGTTTTTGAGCTTAGAGTGGCATCGTATCTTCTGGGTTTTGCCTTGGAGGTGCATAATCCTTTGACCAGCTCAGACCATCTGAATCAATTCTTTTGAAAATGAAGAGAATATTGGACCATTAAACTTGGACTTTATTATAGGTGCTTGAGTTTCCAAGAAACCCATTATACAAGTATTCAGGGGAATTCTTCCATTGAAAACCCAACCTGTCTTTTCAGACCTTGATTTAAAAGGAATAAAAATATCTGGTGGTCCTGTATTTGTTCTCTATTGTCACACACAGACAAAAATGATGTCCTTGTGTTTAGGTGAAAATTTCTCTATGAGGAAGCAGAATTCTCAGATGGCAGAACATTTGCACCAAGCTCTCCTCTAGTGCTATAGCTCAGAGGATGAGAAAGCTCTGCCTCACTGTCCCAGCTCATGGAGACTTTTTTTAAAGTTGTTGAACACACTTGCTATTTGCAGTTGCAAACTGCTTCTCTTTCTTTGTCCTAGAGTTATGGGTTGGTTTGATAGATTTTATTTTATTTGAGGTTTGACTTGTGTTGTACTTAAAAAATTTTTAAACCACAGATTAATAAGATCAAATAATAGGCAAAATATTCCAGTAATACCGACAAATATAAAAATGAACTGATACAGCTATTTTTCCAGTAATTACATGACTTCTCTATTTTCTTTTTAGATTCCTCATTGTGTAATGGGAGCATGGAAGAGTCAGACCTGCTGAAGAGACAAAGATCACTCTACATAGACCTTGGAGCTCTAGCTGGTTACTTCAATATTGTTAGGGGACCACCAGCCTTAGAATATGACTGACTCAATAACATTTTATGTTAATGAGTCAGAAATGGACCTCTACCTCTTAAAACCTGATTTTAAGACTTGATTTTCTAATTTGTACATAAAACTATTGCCATTATAGGCTGTCAAATGTGAATAGTGTTTAATTGCACAGATGATTAAGCTAAACCCTTAGGGGCTCTGATAAGCTGATCCCAAGCAGTGATGTTTGTGTGTCTGCTGGTTGACCAACAAGAAGATGGCAAAAAGAACACTGCTGCTGGGAATGTCTTAATCCAGGATATCTTCCTGTGCTGGGCCTTGCACTTTTGTAAAACTTATAATATATGCTTGCAAATAATATCAGGAAAAAATATAATATAATTTAGCATGTGGGCTGTAAGATTTGGTCTCTCTGAGCATTACTTAGAAAAAACCTTCCTGCCACCCCCCACTCCCCAAAAAAAGGAAATAAGAAGTCCTTGATTTAACCAGTTAAAGACCGGTTCAGTCTTGTTCTGTCTTTAAGACTTAGTCATTCTTGGTCTTTAAGACTTGGGGAGCCTTTAGCCATTCTTAATGAAAATTAAGAATGTCTGTGGAGTCAGATTATCATTTGTTTGCAGATGTGTTTTAACTTTGCATCTTCCTTGGGCAGTGGGAGCTAAGAAGGAGGCTGTCCCCTTCTCTATGGGTCAAGGGAATCTTTCACTGGCAGTGTCAGTTAGCTTTGGGATTTGCACAGCAAGTTGGCCCTAACAAAATGACTTCAACTCCTTCCTATGTTACAACTACTACAACTATGATAGTTTTCAAGGGTAGATCAAATGTTATTCCCTATTGGTAACAGTGGGCAGGCTCCAAACTCTTGCTTTTTAATACTTTAAAATTGTACACATGTATAATTGCTGCGAGTGCTACGGTTTGGAAAGTGTGTCATTTGTGACAAGCAGTGTTAATGTTCCTATGGAAATGGAATTATATTGTTCTTGCTGTGCCTCATACATTTGAAACATGATGTTTTGGATTATAGTAAAACTATGTAAACTGCATAGTTCTGTACATCCCATGGGATGAGAACGTAAACTTTTATAAAACTCTTTCTGATGCTTAGGATGACTCTTTATAAGCGTTTGTGTTAAATGGCATACTGTGTATGTTGTACACTGAATCTTTTCTGAAGCACAGTCTCTTTTTCATGTCTGTTATTTAATGCTGCTCCTCTCTAACACATTATCTTAAACAGATGATTTCTAATTTGATACTGATATGGTCAAATGAATAAATTCAGCTCAGTGCCTTGAGACATGGTCATTCTTCCTTCATCTTCAAAAGCAGCATGGGGCTGCAACTGCATTTGATCCAAGACCCCCTCCCATGGCCCAGGTACACTACAGGCATCATCCCACTTAGTGGGAAGTAGGGTGAAGGCAATTTCTGATGGATTTTGGACTCTGGCAATTGATGGTAAGTATTTCTGGCAAAATCTCCTTCTCACACCCCAACATTGCTTATGGACTGCCTAGATGTTGCACAGTAGTTGTGTACAACAAGGAACACTTCAGTCCTGATGTTAATTCCTGCAAAAAATGCTGTTGGGAATAACCCTCTTGCTCTAGTGCTTTGTGCAAAATCTCTAGATAACAAGTTGCTTGGAGGAGTGCTCTGTGAGGAAGCCCTCTTAGTATTTATACTGACTGTAGTGATCAGGATATTCAGGGGTCAGACTTTCCCTGTGGCTGACCTAAATAAAACATGACCTAATGGTTTGGACGGTCACCTTTGGTTTCAGAGACCTGTGTTCAATTTTATGATCTTTTGCTGATAGCTTTTGATCTTTAAGGAGATTAATAGAATTAGTAGGAAGCAGTTTTTCAGGTAAGTGGAGTTGGGTTTATAATCTCTCCCTCAGTTTCTCTTCTATAAAATTAATGTGTTTATTCTCACCAGACAATGGCTAGGGCTTATGGAAATGCTTATGAAGTGCCTGTATACTTCAACAATGAGATCCATGTCAAAACTGCAGCCTGCTAGTGGTCTTTTACCTTTGCTTTAAAAATATTACACTGACTTTTCTTCTGTTTTTTTATGTAAGGCCATTCTCCTTTCCTCCACCCAGTTAAATATTTTAGCATAGAAATCTGCATATGGAGACACTATTTAATATAGGCTCATTATTTCATATTTGGGTTTTGTTATGGCTGTTATATATCTTCTTACTAAGAAATTAGTAAGTGACCAGGTTATCCAAAATAATTACAGTGTATGTATTGGCAGAGATAAGTAATAAGGTTTGTCTGAGTAAACCAACAGCTCTTTATAGATCCACATGTCTGAACAGTACGAGGGCTTCAGGATAATTATCACTTCACAGGACTGGTATACAACCAACAAGCAGCTGTTCAAGTATGCTGAACAGCATAGCTTCCAGCTCTGTCAGCTTTCTAATAGCTGGGAACTATTTCTCAGGTGAGCCTTAGGCTGCAGCATAGCAGGAATTTCTCTCTGAGCAATACATCACATCCTAAACATCCCACATCCCTCGAGACTATCCCACAGTAGTGATCCCTGCATTGTGTAGGTCCACTTGTTTATATCAGCGCCTGGGGAATGAGGTCAGGGAAATGAACTGGGTTAGAAATGTCCTGGGAGGGGGAAGATTACTCCTCTAATCTGGTTGCCTGAGCAGCTGTGTACTCACAGCAACTGAGACTGGAGGTGAGGGGGAGGGAATGAAAATGGATGGTGGAAAAACCCCATGCTAGTAGCAGAAGTCCCAGGGTTTGGCTGGTCAGTGATGAGACATGGGATTTTGCAAATCGTTGTCCTCTGTTTATGTTGATTTCAGGTGTGTAGTTTCATTTTCTCTTGGGGGAATACTGAGACTCATGCTAAACTGCAAAGGAAAACACAAGTGCACAGGGAAACCCACTGCTCACAATAACTGATTGTGCTGGTTTTGGCTGGGTAGAGATAATTTTCTCCACAGTAACGAGTCCAGGGCTGTTTCAACATTGTGCTGAGAACGGGGTTGATAACAGGGGATGTTTCTGTTATTGCTGAGTGGGGCTCACAGTGTCAAGGCCTTTTCTGCTTCTCGCAGCATCTTGCCAGGGAGGAGGCTGGGCTGCAGCAGGAGCTGGGAGGGGACACAGCTGGGACAGCTGACCCCTCCTGACCCAAGGGATATTCCAGGCCATACAATGTCAAGCTCAGTGTATAAAGCTGGGGGAAGGAGGGGAAACATTCTGAGTGATGTCTTTTGTCTTCCCAAGTCACCGTTACATATATAATGGAGCTCTATTGTCCTGGAGATGGCCGAACACCTTTTAGCACATGGAAAGTGGTAAATGAATGCCTTGTTTTGTATTGCTTGTGTGTGCATAATTTCTTTTACCCCTTTAGATTGTGTTTATCTCAATCCATGAATTTTCTCACTTGTACCATTTCAGTCCTCTCCCTCATCCCACCAGAAGGGAGTGAAGATTCGGTTGCCTGCTGAGGGTAAATCACAACACTGATGAAATTAGGGAGCCAAATGTGCCTTTTATTCTCCTAGGCTTAGGCTTCTTATCTCAACTGTGACCCTGGGACTGAGATCACTGTGATGCTCTTCAGCAAGGCTTCCTGATGTTTGGAAGTTAAAGAAATGCTACAGTAGAAGTACAGAGAAGTTTGCCAGCCCTCCCTATGTGTAGAGCTGAGGGGAATGGGGAAGGAGGGCCCTGGCCAAGCGTTAGACCCTTTGTTGGGACCTTGGGGAAAACAGTGCATTGCTCTGGCTGATCGGCAGAAGCAAAGAAGCAGCTGGGGAAGAGTCACTGGTGGTGTGCCCCTGCCACAGCTGGGAAGGCCAGATTGTTTGTCAGAGAAGGACTGGGATGTAGGGAGATGCCTGGTGCTGTGCATGGCCAAAACTGGGAATATTGGCATGGCTGGGAACAGCTTCCCTTGAGGCTGTACTAGCAGCTTCCAAGGCAGGCTCAGACACCATGAAAGCTTTCTTTACATCCTATGCTTTGCTTTGCATCCCATGTCCAGGCACCTTGCAAATTCCCAACAAAAAAGCACCAAATCACTGTTTGGAGCCCAAGCAGCCTTTTCTTTTCTTGCAGGAAAGGCCCAGCAAGGCCCATCTCCTATAATTGTTACCATCCAAAGCTAACAATTCAGGCAAGGTGAAAACAAGTCTTTATAAATTGTGTGCTGACTGAACTCAGCAACGCCCAAAAAAAATTCCAGCCAGACTTTGGGAGTGGCTGGCTATAATCCCATGGGTGCATGCATGCTGCTTGAGGCTGGTCACCAGCCACAGCCATGCTGACAGATACTGGGGCATGGTGACTCACTGGGAAGCAGGCGAGCTGCTGTGACAGCTTTGCTCACCTGCACCCACACCTCCTGGCAAGGCAGCAGCACGTGGCACCTGAGCACGGAGGTAGCACGGCCACAGGGGCAGCCTGAGCATGTCCAGGTGCAGAGAGAGGCTGTGAGGGGGAGGATGCTCCCAGGGTGAGGTGTGCAAGAGAAAATGGCTGTCTGATCCTCATCAAAGCTACATGCAATGGCAGCCTCAAATCTGGTCTTGAGTGTGAGCCCTGTTCCTGTGGGAGCCACTGTTAGAGGAGGGATGCTCCCATGGTGTCCATGCACAAAGACCATGCCCCACTTGCAGGCTGTGACATTAAGCATAGCTTTGTCACTATGAAAAAGTCAAATAATTAGTGATGTTTGCAGAGTTTAAATCCTTCCTGGTGCTCATAGCAAGTCACATGCTGAAGTGTCATGCAGCCAAAGAAGGGCGAGAAATGGAAATGAGAGAAGGCAGTGAGGGACTCCATGAGGTGTATGTGCAGCCCAGGAGAACAATGTCCATCAAACCTCCAGAGGTGAAGTGCCACAGTCACTGCTCAGCCCAGGGGCTTATCAAGGCTGCTAGCAGTGCAAAGGGTTGCCTTCTTCTCTGACTCTCACAGTAAGCCAAGGTCAACTGTTCTCCCCCTTCCCTAATTGTTTAACCGCAGCTGGCACCCAAGTATTGTGCAGCTGCTTGCTCAACCCCTCCCCATCCCTGGAGGGAAAGGAAGAACACAAGGGACTCAGAAAACAAAAAGAAAACAAAACTTGTGGGTTGAGACAAGAACAGTTTAATAATTGAAGCAAAGTAAAATGCGATAACAATAACAATTGTAATAATAAGAAAATACAAAACAAAATAAAAATGAGTGATTCAATTGCTCACCACATGATTGACCAATGCCCAGCCCATCCCTAAGCAGCAATTGACACCTCCTGACCAGCTCCCCCCCAGTTTATAAACTAAGCTTGATTTTCTGTGGTGTGGAACATCCCTTGGCTCAATTTGGGTCAGCTCACCTGTCTGTGCTCCCTCCCAGCTTTTTGTGCTCCTCCTCACTGGCAGAGCATGAGACACTGGAAAGTCCTTGACTTTGT